AATTACGTTGAGAGCACAAGAGCGCAGCGCTGCTTTCAAAGGCTTGTTAGGCCATTAGTGACGAGAGGCGTGATGAAGGCCTCTCTGTGCCGGCTCGCTGTTGGCCGGGCTGGGGAGGCAGGGCAGCGTAACAAAGCCAGATTTTTGTTTCACTTTGTAGTGTGAAGCCCTTTATGGCACCTTGTGTCATGCCTTTTCGAGGTCCCTTCTCAAAGCAGGAGTGTCATCTATCACCCACTACTCCCAGGGCTCAGGTGAGGACAGTTCCCTCAGACAGGAAATTTCCACGTGAGACTTCAAACCGAGTGGAGGCTTGTCAAAAGGGATGAGCAGAAGCTGGTTAGAGGCTCTACAATCCCCAAGGAAGAGGCTGAGGTTCAGGGAGAGGGCACTGGGGGAGGGGATGTAAGAGAAAACCTTTGGAGAGCTGGGTGCCCAGAATAGATGCTGTGTGCATTTCTGTGGCGCAGCAGACAAACCTGAGTTGTCTGGAGGGCAGGGCCTGGTAGGTGCTTGCGTTGTAGGTTAGAAGAGTCCCAGCTCCAGGCCCAGAGTCCACCAAGATCTAGGGGTACTGGCTACACAATGCTTCCCCACTGAGCACACACAGATTGGAACTTAGTCCAGGTCTGCCTTGGCTCCTTGTTAGGAAAGCAATGGACTTCAGCAGGCAGAGGCCACAGGCCACTGGAAACCCAGAGTAGAGGGAGGAATGGACTACCTAAGGAGGCACAGCCCTGGGAGGCCCAGTTTGGGGCTAATGGAGAAATTAAAAAGGAGCTAAGGCAAGAATCTCACAAAGTCTATGGAACCTCAGCCTTCAGCTTCTAGATAGAAACAAACAAGCTGTGTGGCCCAGGGACACCTGGGACTGACAGGACAGGGAACCAAAGGCCACGCATGGCCTGCGATGGTTTGTGTTGGGGACCAAGAGACCAGGCTCCTCCGAGACCTCTCCTGGCTGGAGGGCTGGGATCAGAGGAAAGATGAATTCTGAGCAGTGCTCAGGGGTTCAGCTCTTTATTTATAGTATTAAGATCTGTATTACATTTGTTTGTTTACGGTACGCATGTGGGGGTGTGTGCCACGGCATGCGTGTGGGGGTCAGAGGATAACTGGCAGGGGTCAGTTCTCTCCTTCTACCATGTCAGACCCTGGACTAGAATTCAGGGCTTCAGGTTTGGTACCAAGTGTGCCTTGACCAGCTGAGCCGGCTTGTGGGCCCTAGGTCTTACTCTTAATGTAACACACAGACACAGATAGACAAGACAGATGTACGTACACACACACACACACACACACACACACACACACACACACACACACACACGCTAATTTTTAACATAAAAAATGCCACATCACCCAAGACCCTGTCATAGAAATTTCTATGTAGAAAGCTGTTACATTGCCCCTTTCCAGATCAGCCCCTCTGAACCAGCCTGTGCCCTCCGACCACTCACATGTGTCTTAACACCTCCCTACTGGTGGGCACTGAAGCTGACCCATTTCCCACCACTGGGAGAAAAAGCCCAAAACCCAAAACAACCTTGGCACACCTCTGTGGTCACTGACACCAAAGGGTAGCTGGGTCCTCTGAGCTCCGCTGTAAGGCATTTTAGGTTCCAAAGTGTCACTCAATGGTGAAGCTTTAATAGGACAAGTTCCCAGAGACAGAACTGCTTATTCTGATAAATGTAGCTGATTCCAGAAGCGGCCTTTTGGTAACAAAATGTTTTCAAAGGCTGAGGTTCCCCAACCTGGTTCACAGTGCCAGGCACCCATTTTACAGTGTAGGAGGGGACTGGAAATTCTTACGGTGCAGAAGACAAGAGGGAATGGATGACCGCTGGGCAAGGGTGCCATATGCGGTTAGGTACTCAGTGGCACCCCCTAAACCATCTGAGTACACTGCACTTTGCGGCTCCCTAACACCCAGTCCTGAGCTTGATTTCAATCAGGACCCTGTCAAGCAAAGCTCTGTGACTTTGGATATTGACTTAACCTCTCTGAGCCTCAGTTTCTGCTTCTGTACCGTGGGGATGGTGCTCCCCACCTCACAGGACGACTGTAAAGGGCAGACGTGAGGGTTGTGAGTCATTGCTGTGCAAGCGTTCCATGGGGGCGACCAGTGCCTTTTGTCAGCTCTACGGCCCAGAATTTCATCCCTCTCCTTCCTCTGAGGGTACCCTCACGGCACCCCGGCCACTGTAGAAAACCTTAGTTTTCCTAAGCATCCCCGACTAGCGTTGGTGTGTGTGTGTGTGTGTGTGTGTGTGTGTGTGTGTGTGTGTGTGTGTGTGTGTGTGTTTGTGTGTGTGTGTGTTTGGGGAGGGGGGCGGGGCTCTCCTCCTGTCTCCCTAGCCAGGAGGGAGAGGCTGGACATGTAGCCCGCTGCCCGCAGCGGAGAGATGGCTCATATCTGACGGGCGGGGAGAGACACATCAAACAGACAGGACTAATGCTGGAAATGCTCCTGTCTCGGAGGGATGGGTGGCTGAGAGGCCACTGGAGCTTCGAGAAAATTACGTTGAGAGCACAAGAGCGCAGCGCTGCTTTCAAAGGCTTGTTAGGCCATTAGTGACGAGAGGCGTGATGAAGGCCTCTCTGTGCCGGCTCGCTGTTGGCCGGGCTGGGGAGGCAGGGCAGCGGCTGCAGCACTCGGCTCTGCAGGCAGAGGCTCGGGAGGGAGGCCGGGGGATTTCGCCTCTCACATTTTTCCTTTGGTCTCTCTCTGGGTGGGAGGGGGCGGAGAGTGGAGGGTGCAGAGGGAAAGGGGGGCTTTCAAAGGAGGCTCTAGAGGAAAAAGGCGAAACACCAGGCCCTTGGATCTCAAATTGCCTCTCCAGAGAAGTTTCTCTTTACACCACGTCAGCCTTTAGAGAAGAAAGGACCCAGGGCAGAGGCAAGGATGGGGCCTGGAGGGAGGGGCAGAGAGCTCATATCTGTGAGGGGCTGGGGAGCTGGAGGCGGGAGGTCAAGCAGTGGCCAGAGGCATGCATCACAGACAAACGCTCAGTGACACTAGGTTCGAATCCCAGATGTGTCACTTATCGCTTGTACGGCCTCAGTGGGTCTTGGGTGTCTTTAAGGGAGGCTGCCAGAGAAAACTGAAAGGTGGCAAGGTGCAGAACAGGGTGCTCGGCCAACACTGAGCATTGGATAAACATGGGCTAAATCTGCTTCCCTCGTGACCCATTTCCAATAACCACCAGCGAGGGTGTACTTCATCCGTTTCCAATAAACAACACAAGGGTAGCCTTGGTACAAGCATGGATTCTCACACATGAGGCACACGTGTGAATGAGGCGGTGCATAAGCATGGATCCCGGGCATACGTGTGTGTTTGTGTGTGTGTGTGTGTGTGTGTGTGTGTGTGTGTGTGTGTGTGCGCCATGTTTCTGCATGTGGCATGCGCACAGCTGGTGGCGACTGGTTCTCCTGCGGTGTGGACGGACGCTTAGGTACAATTTGTTTTTCCATGTTTTAAGCCACTCAACAGGCCCATGCAGGGCCCTTGGGTCTGGTCTGCCATGCTAAGGTGCCTGGCTCAGGTGGTGCTATCCTGGGCAATGGTCAGGCTTCTCCCAGCCTGTTCTGGGCACCAGGGTGGGTGCAATGACCATAATTGAGTTTTGGACATGGACCCGAGGGACGATTGGATGCTTCACGCCCAGGGAGTCAAGGAACACCCCCTGAAGGGACAAGGGATCATTGCCACAGGGAGGAAAAGGATGTCAGGTGCCACAGTAATCCAGACCTTGGGCCTTCTGAGCCAGGGGGCACGCGCTTAGCTTCCTGTGCTTTCCAGCTTAGCCCAGAGCTTCGGCCCAAGGCACAGCCTTACCTGGCGATGACGAAGAGGACACAGCTGACACCCAGGTAGGCGAGGAGCACGTACATCCAGATGTCTGGGGAAAGGGGGTTGAGGAAGGAGAAGACACTGGGGTTGGTACCATTGGGCTTGCGGTATAAGATGCTCACTCCGAGGGTCATGAAAGGCTTGGAGAAGTCGATGGCCTTCTCTCGGACGTGGGTGATGGTTAGGGGAGCCACGGCCAGATCTGCCTTCTGTAACAAGACCACAGGCAGACAGACAATGAGCAAAACCTTGGGCTAGAGGTGATGGAGAAACCCCCTCATGGATCGCGGATTGAAGGGGTGCCGGTCGTCCCACGTGACTTAACCACTCCTGTGTATGTCCAGTGTGCGTGTGAGTGCACGCTCTTGCGCATGTGTGCATGTGTGCGTAAGCGTGGAGGCCAGAGGACAACCTTAGTGTCATTTCTCAGTTTCAGCTGACCTGATTTTTTGATTGTGAGCCTTAGCCTTTCACGTTGCGCTGTCTCCCCAGCCCTGACCTTATTTTCTAAGGCAGACTCCCTCACTGGCCTGGAACTCCCCCAGTAGGGTATTGCTGGCTGGCTGGCAATCAAACCCCAGGGATCTGCCTGTTTCTGCCTCCCTGGCACTGCCCCCACACCGGGCCCTTTCCCCCACATGGGTTCTGGGGACAGAACACAGGCCCTTGACTGAGACTTCTCTGCAGCCCGCTTATTCACAGCTCACTTTCAACACTGACTGACTCCCGTGGCTGGGCCGTGTCCAGGGTGTGGGGGAGACAAGGATGTACATACAGTAATACAGGACAACTTAAGCTTTGTTGTTCAAGAGCTGATGGATGAAGAAGAGGGCCGGGACAAAAGCATAGAGAGAATGAATACCTATGAGGCTCCTTCTCAAGATGGCACTGTCGAATGAAGTCAGCTTCCCCCTCCCAATCACTTCCTGACCACTTTAGCCCACCTAGGATGGTCCCTGGATCCTAAATCCTGCTCCAAAGCTACTTAGACAGAGATAATGTTCTCCTTGGGAACCGGGGAGATGGCTCAGTCAGCCAAATGCTTGTTGTGCAAGCTCGAGGACCTGAGTTTGAATCCCCAACGCTCGTGTACAAAGCTGGTCACTAAGAGAGTCCATAACCAGGTCCCATAGCTCATTGGCCAGTTAGTCTAGCTGGTTGGTCAGCTCCAGGTTCAAAGAGAGATCTCATCTCATAAAATAAAGTGGAGTGTTATTGAAGAAGACAACTGCTATTGATATACATGTGCACATGCATGCCTGTGCACATGCATGCACATACACACACACACAAGCCTGTACACACATCCACTACACAGAACACACACAAAACAAGCAAAAGCACCCTCCTTAAAGGGTGTGGGTGGACAAGAAAGCGAATGAGCAAGTCCAAGGCCTCACTAGCATGGTTAACATGAGGCAGGAGAGGGAAGGCTAGAGATACGATATGTTAATACAGGACATTGCCTCACACATTTAAGGAGGGGTGTTCTGAAATTTGGTCTGAGGTTTTCCTGATTAAAAATTAAAAAAATCCTCCCTCTGCATCTTGTCTGTGGTTCTCATAACACAAGGGCCCATTAAACACTGTCCTGTTCCTATGCCCCTTTCTTTGCCTCCATGGTGGCCCACAGTCTCCTCTCCTTGTCTAATTCTTCCCATTGTTCATATTATTTCACACATGCTGCCTCTTTGAGATCCCTCCCTGGCAGTCTTAAATTCTCGATTCTCACGAAACTCGCTCTTTCCCAAGGGAAGGTCTGCACTGCTCAGTGTGCATGGCTGCATGTCAGCAAGCATGCATCTGCTTATACACATCCTCAGGGGGTTCCTTGCATGCTAGGGCTGTGGCTGACCCACTGTTCTCTCCTCATCTCAAAGCCCCTCCTTAGACTCTGCAATATTTAGCAGTGTTTCCCTGGAAAAGGCTGCCTCTTAGGCTCCTATGGGTATTTGTGCCTCAATTATGAATCAAGGTATCACTTCCCTTCCATACATGGGCATAACTGAGGGGAAGAGGGATGCTAAGGCCAGCAGTGAAGACCCTTAGCCAGGAAGGAGCATGCTTCTGAAAGACTCTGCCAAGGCAATACCTCTAAGACAGCCACTTGATGGATTGACCCATCCATCCACCCACCGACCCATCTATTTATCCATCCACCCATTATTTCTCTATCCATTCTTCTGTCCACCCACTTACTTGACCACCCATCACCCACTTATCCATTTATCTATCCATCATCTATCTGTTTATCCATATATCTACCAACCTAGACACCAATCAGTTGTCCATCCATCCACCAGCCCACCCATTTTTCCACCCACCCACTATTTAATGAGATCCATCAGGAACTAGAGAGACAGAGTTGTCACAGGCACAGTTTCTGCTCTCGTGGCTCTTAAGGTCTAGTAGGGAACATGGGTATCAATCAAATTGTTTATCATATCAGCACTAACTCAGACTCCACTTATCTCAGAATAGGAACAAGTATTTCAATAGAAATCCCACCAGGAGAGAAGGCTAATATGTGTGAAATCCTAGTCTAGACCACTCTGCGAGTACCCCAGGCTTAGAGGAACTAGGAGATACTCTGATACTGGTATCCCCAGTGTTTCTCCTTCTAATGCCACCTCTACTCCCCAACAGGGATACTCGGGGCCAAAGGATTTGGTAAACTTCAAAATCCAGGAAAGATAGCCCATGGAGTACAAGGCACCTGCCAGGAAGATTAATGATGACCTGAGTTGGATCCCTGGAACCTATATGGCAGAAGGAGAGAACCAAGTCCCCAAAGTTGTTCTCTAATCTCCAGCCGTGAGACATGACATGTATACATGAGCATGTACTCACATGCACGGATGCAATAGACAAACAGACAAATAAGTGTGAAACAAATCAACCCCCATTGACAGAGGGATAGAGGGAGGTGAAGCTATAGAAAAGACCCATTACACTGAAGCCTATACTTTTATAGATTTTTGAGTGTGTGAGTTAGAACTTGCCTGGCTTTATAGCCACAGAAAAAGGGACAGGGCAGCTACCTTAGCTACTGGACCCCTCTCAGTTCAGGGAATGAACAGATGGATGGGGGGAAGAATGCTCAGGGACATTCTAATTAGACTGTCTAGTACATACTTGATCAAGACATACTATACTCAGACACTGGCCTAGCTGGGATACAAGAATGAACCAGAGACCTGGTACAGTGAGTTCTTATTTTAGATATAGACATGATTCCTGGGTAGCACATGAGTTGAGGTGAGCACCCTAAAGGCCTCCTACAGTCCTGAAGCTCTAGGATCATCTACAATGATGGTGTGAGAGGGATCTAGTGGTATTTGAGTCTAGGTTCCTGCCTCCCCTAGCCTAGTCCCTTCAGAGGACGCTGAATTGGTAGGTTCTGTTTGACTCCAAAAGTAGAATGCCCTGGTTTCTGGCTGGTCTCTGAGAATGGCCTCTGGGTTTGCAGTGGCTTCTTAGACAGAACCTCTAAGTCGGTGGTGGAGGATCCTCCTTGGACTTTTGACAGCAAGATGCATGAGATCAAGGTGTTTGTGCACAATGTTTATTTTGTAAGAATGTCCCAGGGGCTGAGGAAGAAGTCAGCCACAGGCCCCGGAGCGGTCTTTCTCAGGGCCTTCAGCATCTCCCTTCCACTCTTCCTGCTTTCTGGCTCTAATGGGGTTGGGCAGCAGAGACGTCCATGGCATTCTGTGCCTACGGCAGCAAGGTAATTGGCCAACGTGACCTTCTCTGGGAGTTCAGATGAGTGTTCTCCCTTGGGCTTCAAGAAAGCTGGCATTCTCCACTTCATTTTTGGCTTAGGCAGAAAATACTATATTTCACTGTTGGTAACGATTTCCCTGAAAAAGGCATTATTTTGTCCAACTTCCCTTGAAAGATTGGAACAGATGTCAGGCCTTCGCGGTTTCGGTTCATTACTCAGAATGAAAGGCCCAGTCTTGGCGGCTCTTCCCACTCATGCATACTTCTTCCAGCGTGATTCATGAAATCACAGGCTGTCAGAACTGGACGAGAGACCTTCCGGAACATCTGCTCCAACCCCACATTTTGTTACAGAGGGAAACTGAGGCTTGGAGAAGTGTGTTCGTTCCTCTCATGTTACAAAAATCATGACCTTGAGCCAAACCAAACCAAACTTTGACTTGTCCCCCGATACCTTCAACAACTTATAGATGATATTGTTCCTCTCCTGTCTAACTAACTTCCTTTCTGTATATCTTCTAAACATCTAGGCCAGGCAGGATGCCTTCCGAAGACATGGTTTTATCCCTATAGGTAGCTTTCCACTTGCCAAAGTTCTGCTGAGAGGCACCCAGTCCAGCCCTGCTCAACCTCCCCTCCATGCATGAAGCCATTTGGTCTTGTCTACTTGGTTCCATCCATCCTACATGGATGACATGATTACCCAACTCCAACTCTGTATTTTGGCCCTTGACATTCAGTACTTCTGACTTCCGTCTGGACCCTGAACTTGTTTCTATAATAAAACCTGGGCCACCTCCCATCAGGCTAAGAATGGGATAGATGTCATGGTCTTAGTGCTGGCACTGGCCACCAACTGGCCTTTCCTTAGGACAAGAAATTTTCTTTGGAGACTAAGGTCTAGTCCCCAGGGCCCCTGCTCGCTCCCTGGGTTTGGTGTTCTGTTGGCACTTCCTGTTGGATTCTCCAGTACCGTCACCACTGGTTCCATATCTCTATGCTCTCTCAGTGTGCCTGCCTGCCCAGACAGTCAACTGCTATATTAAAATATTAAGAGCTGCCATCATCACAGGATGCTGCCTACAGGCCAAGCGTCGTCAAGTGCCTCATGAATTCCTCCCTAGAGCCCCAGGAGGCAGCAGGCATCACCACATTTTAGATGACTGATTTGGTGGCTAGAGCAGGCAGGATGCTTGTTCAAGCTGGTGAGTGGCTGAGCCAGTTCTAGTACCCAATTCATTATGACTTTAAAATCCAACATTTTACCACACGGTTGTACAAGCCAAGTAGAGTGGTGTGATGCGGCAGTGGCATATAGCCTTAATTACATTCCAATTCTGTGACTGTGAGCTAATTTGGAATAAGGTCTCGCAGATAGTATTCTTGCAGAACAAAGTCACCGAGTTAAGACGGCATCATGCTGAATTAGGATGGCCTCCTCCCAACAACTAGTGCCCTTCTAAGAGGAGACGCAGATACACAC